AACTTTTATAACATACTTTTCACACAACAGCCAGGGATTCACTGGGAACTGCATGTAGACCAGGTAGCATCTTAAAGGAAAAATCACAGAAAGTGCCTCATAATAGTAGCTCTCATCTTGAAAGATCTGCCTCAATGTACAGTACTAACATCATATATATTGGGACCAAATTGTGGAGTATTTTTCATAAACAATAAGCTACATCTTAATGACAAGCATATTTGGAATTTTAGTTTTCTAAGCACCCCACAGGCAAATCCAACCTGGTGGCCTTCTATGATGGAGTGATTACTTCAGTGGACAAGGGAAAGGCTACACATGTCGTTTATCTGGATGTAAGGCCTTTGACACAGCCCCCCACAACCTCCTTCTCTCTAAATTGGAGATATATGTATTTGACTGGTGGACCGTTTGGTGGTGAGGAGCAGGTTGCACAGTTGCATCCAGAGGATACCGGTCAACAGCTCAATGTCCTGATGGGAATAGGTGACAAATGGTGTCCCTAAGGTCCCTTATTGGACCTGTAATGTTTAATATCTTCACTGATGACATACACAGTGAGATGGAGTGCACCTTCAGCAAATGTGCAGATGACACCAAGCCAAGTGGTGCAGTTGACACTCCTGGAAAATGGGATGCTATCCAGAGAGATCTGGACAAGCTCAAGAAGTGGGCCCATAGGAACCTCATGAGGTTCAACAAAGGCAAGTGCAAGGTGCTGCACCTGTGGTGGAGTAACCCCCAGTATTAATACAAGTGGGGGATGAACAGACCAAGAGCAGCCCTGTCGAGAAGGACTTGGGGGTGCTGGTGGATGAGAGGTTGGACAGGAGCTGGCAATGTGTGCTTGGAGCCCAGAAAGCCACTTGTGTCCTGGGTTGCATCAAAAGAATTGTGGTCAGCAGGTCAAGGGAGATGATTCTGCCTCTCTATTCCATTCTTATTAGACCCCACTTGGAGTACCATGTTTGGCTCTGGGGTCTCTAGCATAGGAAAGACATGAATCTGTTGGAGCAGGTCCAGAGGAGGGCCATGAAGATGATCTAGAGGGCTGGAACACCTCTCCTAGGAAGACATGCTGAGAGAGTTGGGGTTGTTCAGCATGGAGAAGAGAAGGCTCTGTGGAGACCTTATTGCAGTCTTTCAGTACATGAAGGGTGCCTTCGAAGGTGGGGAAAAACTTTTTAACAGGGCCTCTTGCAATAGGACAAGGGGTAATGATTTTGAACTGAAGAAGGGTAGATTTAGATTAGATGTAAGGAAGGTTTTCAATGAGAGTGGAGAAACACTGGAACAGGTTGTCCAGACTAGTGGTAAATGGCCCATGCCTGAGAACATTCAGGGTCAGGTTTGATGATGCTCTGAGTAACCTGATTTAGTTGAACATGTCCTTACTCATTGCAAGGGGGTTGAACTGGAGATGACCTTTAAGTGTCCCTTCCAACCCAAACTATTCTATGATTCTATAACTATAATAACAATATTTTCAAGTAGCCATTTTTACCAACGAGCTTAACAGATTTTTTGTCCAAAGAATTTATCCCATAACAGCTTCTCATTTCAGCAAAAGCTCCACTCTAAAAAGAAGAACAGGAAATATGGTGGAGATTAAAAAGAAAAAAAAAAGGAAAAAAATCAAAACCAAACCAAATGAAAAAAAGCTTTCTTGGTTTTGCAAAGACGTCCATAAGTTTTCACTTTGCTAAATTTTGACAACATGCACTGATGCTCCACCTTGGGGATTTCTATCTAGATTTAGATCTCTATTTTAGATTCTAAAACAAAACCTAGATATTTGAGATTAATAGAACTAGATGTAAATCTCATTAGTACATCTTGATTCTGTCAACTACAATATTTCTAACGCAAGTCTTTTTATTAATATTCATTATTTATTTATGGTAGACATTAATGCTTTCTGCCATTTTAAGTTGTTGCATTGTTACAGATGGCACACATCATTGATTCCATACCTAATATTCCTCAGGTTAACAGTCAGCAACCACATTAGCTTGGGAAGAACAATAATCATCAGAGTGATGGAATTTTTTTCCAGTATAGTCACTTCTGGCTTTTTAAAGGCATATAGCATACACTGTTGATCTCAATGGTGTGGAAGACATTGGAGATAAAAGACCAACAATCCATCAGGTCATAAGTTTTTTGGAACTAGTCCAACACAAGCTATCATGATTTTCTATCTTCATTTAGCATATTTATTAATCAATCTTTGTAGGGCATTACTTATATATCATTACAGTGGACAATTAGACTCATTGTCCTTACAGCCCACACAAACAACTGTGAGGATGCACATATGCTACCAAACAACACAGATTCCTAGCCTGATAAGGGGTCGTGTTTCAGGGACTATCTGTGTCTCTTTCTTTGAGGAAAAAGAAAGTGTTCACTCAGACACAACTGAGGTGAGGTTGTAGGGATTTTCTTCAGCTTTTCATTCCAAAGGGCAGTATGAATAAGGCAGCACCATTTAACATCACCTTCTATAGGGACCAGCTCCCCTGTTAAAGAAGTTGACTACTGCTGTCATACCTTCACCATTATGCCATAAACCACCAGTCTGGTGGGCTGTGACTTAGTCTTCTCTCTATTTAGGATTACAAACTGAACTTCTCCCCTTCTGTCCACACCCAATGCTCATATAAGTATGTCTGGGAGTAGCAGAGGTACCCTATGTAGTCTGGAGGAGATCAACAAGTACACAACAGGAACACCGTCAAGTCATTCTAAAAGGGATTAATGTGAATGCTGTGGACTTGAGGCACTCCGGACCTCTTTATTCTGCAAGTTAGAGATCAATCTCTAACCAAGGATTCATTATTGTAGGTTCAACTTGTAATTTCATCTTTCAGTGCACAACTTTGTAACACCAAGCTATGCAGCTTTGATGCTGTTGTACTAGAGCCTGATAGCACCAAACTGTAGCCCTTACCATAAAAAGAGATATCCTCATCACGACAAGATTTGGTTTTAAACTAATTATGCATCTGTTTTTCTTCCCTATGTCACATAACAAATTTAAATTTGTTATTGCCTTTCTGTATTAATAGTTGTTAGGTGTTTCAATTCTTTTTTCCTCTTCCGGTTTAGTATAATCTATATGTTTTATACCGGTGTTGCCCACAATGGATCCTTCTTCCTATAATCAGTGCACTCTCATTGATCATTCAGTAGTTTTTGGTTACTGCTTGTCAGTTTTTCATCCATCAAAGGGCATTTAAGTCAATTGGAATTACATTTTTAAGGATATTTCATATGATCTGATAGAAAATGAAAAAAATTTAATCTAAATAACTTTGCCTCCCAACTACAATAAAGTGATCAAATGAAATAGAGGCCACTGCTTTTCCTCTGTGTAGTTCCCCTAGCTTTTTAGTGACTAAACAAATGAATTTTTTCAAACTTATGAATTCATCATACTGAAAACTGACCTTAAATTTCTGGAAAGAACATTATACATAATATAATATTTGGTAACTTTTGATTCCCAGTTTTCAGGTACTTCTTACCTTATCCAAACACAAGACTACCACATCCATTTTATTGAAATGTTTCATCTTCTTAAAACCATGTAAGAGTTCACAAAATTTTAGGAGTTAAGTCCACCGATTCAAAGCAAATTTATTTCCAATGATCTGGTCTTATAATTATAGGTGTATGGAATATCTGTGAACCTTGTTTAGTGCAAAGAGTTTATACCTGCAGTCTCAAGTTTCATTTTTAATATGGTGAAAAAAATGTTCTGAAAAAAGACAGAGATCAAGCATGGAAAAATCCAAACCAGAAATTTAAGTCTGGTAAAACTATAAGCTACAGGAAGAAGACTTTAATAATGGAAAGCATTAGGCAACTTTATTTTCTTTCTAGCTTGCCTAAAATTATTCTGTCAGAAGCAATTTGCCTATTCTCCTTCAATACATATGCTTTAGGGAAGAAGGAACAATTATTTTATAAAATGCAATAACACCAGACCATATTTCAGGAGGATGTGATTACACTATTTTAGAAGCATTGCAACACAATCAGAGACAATTACCTGAAGTCAAATTTGGTCCGCACACTCGTAGTTTTTACTTCTGAAAGAACCTTATGAAAGGTGAAATAGAATGTCAAAATGCCAAGTGATCAAACATCAGATTTATAACTTTTCCAAGAGAAGAAACTTTATACAATATTCTCTTAACACAATCATTTACCCCCTTTCGCCTTCACCAACCAGTCCTATGAATCATCTCAACCAATCAACTGACCTACCAACCAAGCACTGACCAGCCTTCACTGTGCCTTGTCCTTTATCATGGTGAGAGAAAGACAACAAAGCACTATGGTTATAATATAATAAGTTTTTTCTGTAATGCTAATAGTGATCAACATACTCAAAGAGCAGTCATCTGACCAGCAATGGAAGAAAAGAACAGTACACCAGCCTCATTGTACTAGGCAGGCACCAAATATCTCACAAAACCTCATCAAATATCTCACAAAAGGAAGAGGTTTGTAACACCATTTCCCTTTGTCATTATTTAAGATTCAAAAAGTGCCATAGCAAGATGTGTGGCAATGCCCATCTAATCTCTTGAGTTGCCCAGCTCCTCTGTCATTTAGGATTCCTGTAAGCCATAGCTCTGAATACTAAGCAAAGTCTTTGCTCTTCTTTTGTAACCACTCTTGCCTTGCCCTGGCACAGTGCCATTTAAGCATATTTCTTAGAAACTGTTCCCATTGTCTTAGTCTGTTTTTTTTTTTTCTGAAAATGCTCCTTGAATAAAATGTTTTGGCTTAGAGACAGGTATGTATCTGCTCTTCCTCTGCAGTTACTCCTATTTATAACCCAGGTGTTAGCAGCTGTGTTCTTGGAGTCATCAGCCACAGCTACCTTAAATTATCTGCAGGTCTGAAAATATATTGCTTCACTGAATTTGCTGGCAAGAGAAGACTGATGGTAGGGTGGACAGTCAACACAAGTGCTTTATTTCAGACTTGCTCCATTTTACCTGCTAATTCTTCTTTCTTATAACCTGTCTCCAGGGAGGAATAAAATGCAAATCTTTTCTTCAATAGACTGCAGATGACACTGCAATAGGAAAGAAAATTTCCTATTGTGACCAAGTACCATAATTGAATGATGTCTGGAAGTTTATTCATTTATATGAGACAAACCAATAGTTTCATTTAACTTGTAAAAGGCCGATCTAACTGATTAAAAAAAAATTGAAAAATCCAATAACTGGCTTCAGGCCAGCTAAATTTACAACTTCCTTTTACAAAAGCAAGTTCTACGTACACTAAAATTTTAATTAAACCCAAATATGTTTTTTAATATAAATTAGTGATATAAATTATTTACAACACTTAAAAAAACCTGATGGGTTTATAACTTGCTGTTAAGTGATCGTTTGGTGATCCTTCTCCAGGTATATCAGTTCTCTTAAACTGCTGGCTGTTAGCTATAAGTTCTATAAGAGAAATGCTTAAATAGTAGTATAAAAATGTCTGTAATAAAACCACAAGCTCTGAATTTCATGGTACTTTAATGCTGCCTCTGAAGTAATGGAAAAGCCATTTTCCAGCACTTGCTTCAAGGACTCCACTAATAACATTTTTCACAAAGGACCTATCTTTTTTTAAATAACTTATTGTGAAGTTATTCTAAAGTATTTAAAATCACACAATTAAATTTGATCGGAACTCCGTTTGATGTTTAGCAGGTATTGCAAAGAAATAAGGGGGGTTTGCATAGGTGACAAAATATGCTGACAGAGCTGTGTGTGAAAACGCATACAAATATTCATGCTGGTCTGGAATACAGACAGAAGAAAAACAAGTATTATAATGGAAAGTGCAGCAAGATTTGTCAGCGGCAATATGCATGTCCTGATAACTCTGCATAGAGGATACAGCCAACTGCCCATCTTATCGCTGAAAGGGTCATGCTGCAACTACGTAAGATCCTGTTCACTTTCAGGAGCCAATTAACTAAGGTAAGTTTCATTTTGGAGGCAGCAATGAAGATTATGCTGAATGAATTTAAAAAAGAAATGCAGACTAGAAATATAATTAAAGGGATTCTTCGACACATGCTGACTCTCATTTTTCAAGAGACAGCAATTTTTTTTAATTTCTAGCACTGAATACATAAATTTATTTCAAGACCAACCCATGAGGCTTGAATCCAATCAAGATTTAAAGTCTTTGGGCCTGAGGACTGTGCTCTCTCAAAAATTATTTGATGCGAAATTATTCATGAGCTACCCTAACTGCTTCCAGAGACAAGAGATTCAGACTGTATTCTGTCTTTCAGGAATTTTAACTGAAGCTTAAGGGCCTTTGGATCTTCCTCATTCAACCCACCCAATGCATAAGTAAAGGCACCTTCAAATGTACTCTTCCAAATCAAAATTTTTTATCATTGGACATAAAGGATAAAATTGCAGAAGCCTACATTTGCCTGCTTCCTGTCAAGTGAGTTTTCTCCACTTGAGCTTCCAACCCTTCAGTCCACGGAGGAATGTTTCTGTGACATAAGAAAGAGATGCAGCTTTTCTCCTCTGGGGTGCCAGCACATCAGTTCCCTGCATATTTTCAGCTACTTTAGTCTGAGAGGGTTAAAAAGGAAAATTATCCTGAAGCCTCTTGAGGTACTGAAAAGCAAGTTTCCTTTTAATTCCTCTGCTTGTTTATCTTGCAGACTGAACTCCAAATAGTCGCCATATAAACTGGCTGAAAAGACCCCAAAAAAATAAAATCTATCCCAAGAAGAAAATAAACATCGATAAAGCATTACAGAAGTATTTTCTGATTATTTCTTAACTCTGTGTATTTGCTTCAGATGCATTTAGTTTTATTTTTTCCTTCATATAATTCAGTAGCAAAAATATTAAATGATATGAGCAAGTGTTCCGACTTTTGGCATGCAAAACATTCTCCTAGTTTCCCCTGAAGTTCAGAAATACTCAAGCATGATATCATTTCTACAGATGTAGTCAATCATATTCATAGTATTTTCAAAAATTACCTGTACCTTTAAATTAATTGAATATGCAATAATATATATTTGTAATATGTAGATTTATCTATCTATCCATCCATAAATATATTTTGTTAGCCACATTTTCAATGAAGAGGTGAAACACAGGTCATGTTGTCAGTACAAGAATTACAAGAAGAACATGAGAAAAGAGCCTTCCAAAATTTTTTATGGAATCTAAATTCATATGAACTGATTTTAAAAAAAAAAAAGTCATAGAATTCATTAGTTTTGCTCACAAATAGAAAAACTATTGATATTTTATTTCTTCACGACAAAGCATACTGATGTAATACAAAATCTTAATTGTTTTTTACCTGCACAGCCACTAGCAATATTAGCTTCAAGTATACATGAGTTTTTAGCTTTAAAAGTAACACATATATTCCACACAGGATACTGGTCTGAATTATGTAGGCACAGCATGGGGACCTTTGAACTTCGGGCCTTTGAGGGCTGCGTTTAGAATATGGATTTATCTTTCACATGCAATTAACTAAATTCAGATGGCATTCCTGCAAAATTCCTTACTCTCCTGATTAATGAGAGATTAAAAACACTGAGCCTGTATTTCCAACATTATCAAAGAGGAAAGCAACACATTCCTTAAGTTTTTATCCTTGTAGGCAAATGAAATACTAAGGAATTGACTATGGACACAAAACAGATTCACATATAGATGTCAGACAGGTACAGCAAGCCAACAGACCTTCAGCATAACTATATGTTGGAAAAGATAAACTTGAGAACAAGCATCTCTCTGTTTGCAGCCCCAGAACCATTAGAATATCCCTTCTGCCTGGCTATGCTTCCTAAATGTTTAAACTGCTCTGGCAGATCTACAGTTTTCTCACTAATTCAGAGATAGATATTTTGGTGCTACTAAGCTAAACAGATCTTGCAGTAACCAAAAAGTTTCTTTATCAAAATGCTACTGAGGAGTACCTGACCTTCGAGGGAAAGATCTTTTGCTACATAATAGAAAAAAAAAACCCAAACATACAGAAACCCTTTTATTTTAAGGTTGACATTACTAACATATTCTATTTAACACATTACCCTATGACAAGAGGAAAATTCCTTGCCATCTAAATGGTCACACTAATGGTGATGCGTTGTCTGACAATAATGACATTTTTGAACTGGGCAGAGCAAGAGCTGAACAACTGTAGTATTTCCTGCAGACAGTGAGTGTTCATATAACTCCATAGGCAGCAGTGCTGATGGCTATTGCAGATACAATCAGTGATGTTCTGGGTTTCCTTACTTTGAGGAAACTTTAAAAGCAAGTGCTATATTAAAGAATCCATGAATATTGACTGTACAAATGTTTTGACATACCATACTAACACTACAATTAGTTCCTTTAAGCCTGAACAGACAGCCTTTAGCTCCAGTCACAGAAAGGTACAGCGTTGTCAAAGCTTGCCCTTGACCTAAGCAGAAGTCACAGACTGAAAGACACAAAAGCATAACACAAGAGAAGAAACGAGCCAACAACAGGAGAGCACACTCTGTGCCTCCCCTGGCACCCAGTGCCAAAGCACACTGCTGGCAGAGGTATGCCTCGAGATCATAAAAATAATTTCTTCCCAAGGAAGCGAGACTTTTTGACCTTTTCAAGCTACTCATATACTAAAATAACAGTGCAACACCAACCCAAATTAAAGATGCTATTAATATCTCTAAATATGCCACTTATTACTAGAACATGGGAAATGACTCATTTGACTAATAACGCTCCACTGTGGATCAGCTAACCGACAGTATTAGCAGTACTTAAAAAGATTATTAAAATAGCCTGAATGCTTTAACATTTTTAGAGCACACAGCAAGCAAAGGAAGAAGAAACTCAAATGGAACATAACCTAATCCAAGGAGAGAAAATACTGGGAGTAGCAATACATACTAGAATTTATTTTTTCACAAACAGCTCTGTAAGATGTTTTCTCTACACTTACTGCTCTCCAGCACTATCATACCACATTTAGAGCTGCTTTAAAATGTGAGGGAGGACTGAACATTTCAAATTATCGAGTTAAAAACACTAGGGTTGTTAATGGAAAATTTTTAATATCATAAGGAAACCAATAATTATCAGATTTCTTAGTAAAAGATATTCCATAAAAAGTTCACATTATAATAATTGCTATTTTGATAGAAAGTTTCTGAGCAGAAAATCAGATGTCATACAATACAAATTAATTAATGGAAAATACCAATAGATTTGCCAGTGTTTTCAAATATTTGCTGGAAGCTGTTTATTGACTGAAGATGCATCATTAATGCAACTGCAATTCATCATTAATAATATAAACAAAATAAACCAATCCATCTAGAAATTTAAAGCTTCATGCAATTGATTATTATTTAAGATCGCTGGAAATGAAACTTCCTTTAATACAAACACATTTGAAGTAGTCTCCAGATGCATTCTGCATTTTAGCTAATTCTGTGCTATGCATAGAGAAGAAGAATCTATTTTAATGTAGATTTCTATTTTTTTCAAGTCTGATTATCAAATTTATCCTAACTTATGATTTCTTATACCTACTCAAGAGTCATCAGGGTGTCTTGAAAAGAAATTATGATATTACAAAAAAAAAAAAGATACACCCAGAGTTTATGTAACTTTTTATCTGTTTTTGTTATATTTAATTTCAGAGGAAAAGCTTTAAAACTTTCAGTACGCACCATCAAAATTTGATTTCTCTTTAAAATAGAAAACAACATGCTCAATATAGACAAATTAAAGTAGGATACAGGCCATTTTGATTTTAAGACTAAAGTCAGTACTGTGTCTCAAGAAGAAAAAACAAAGAACAAAGAACCCAAAACACCATAAAAAAAGAGCCCCAAACAAAAAAAACCTCCAACCCAAACCCAAGACCCAGCCATTCCCACTAAACCTTCAGTTCTTCTGTCTGACCTAAAGAAAAATAACTTTCCATTACTGTTGAGTGCTCTTTTAACTCAGTCATCATTTGTGGGTAGTCCTACAGTTTTCATTCCTGACAATGACATAAGGCAGATAATAAAATGATGTGTCACGTTGGCTGCTAGCTGCATAATATATCTTTAAAATTGACCAGATACTGTTTTACTTGACTATGTATGTGAAATGCAGTTGGATATCATTTACTTCCCCTTGGGGATCTGTAAAGATTACTAACACCCACGATTTTGTTGTGACATTTGTTTCATGTTTGGCTGTCTCTTTGAAAGCTGGAGAGATATTGCAGAAAGAAAATAAGAGTCATGTCTAAAGGATGTTGCCATGGTGAATTTAATTGCATATTCACTGTGTGAGAAGACAGAATACTAGACAAATGAGAATGTTAACTTTCATAGTTGGTTAAACATTTGTGTTTGACATTGTTGAGGTTCCTAGCTAAGAGTCTGGTTCCAATTTGTAGAAGTGATGTAGGTCCAAACTTCTTTGCTGTGGATCCCTGCAGGTGCTATATTTTAAACTGAACAATACCCAAAGAAGCACAATCCCAGACATCTTGGATCAGGCAAATAAAACTGTAACCCATTTGCCTCAGTTCTAGACTTCCTACTACTCATAATCTAGTTTTTTAGTGCTTTTTGTGATAAAACTATCTTTAAATGAGGATAATGATTTTAATACAATTTCACAGTAGTATTGGTGACAGGTTTATTAACATTTAAATGTTTGGATTGTGTAATGATAATTTAGAATACTTACAAGGATATAAATTGTTTTATTTGAACAGGAATTGAATGACATGCAAAGCAGGTACAGGGACTGTGCACAAAGAATGAACAGAAGAGGGGAAAAGAAGGTTAAATAGAGACCAGGAAGAAAGCCTTCACAACAACACCTCCGAGTTCCTGAAAGCTAAATGTGATGACCTTCACAAGGCTACTTGAACACTGCTTTTGTGTATTGTATTATATAATCTTGGTTTATTTATGACTTATACAATGACTTATACAATGTCTATATGCACACATGCATTCCCCAACAAACACACCCTCGCGTTAATATTTTATAGTGCGTATTTTATTATTTCTGTTTCACTTACACCTGGAATACTTTGTTTTATGCATCTGCCACGTACAAGATGAACAGCAGATTACAATGCACTGTACTATCACAGCACTTAAAGCACGTTGTGGTGGTTTGAGCCCCCCCCCCTATCCCCAGTGGGGCTGGAATTAGTTGGTCCCAGGTGAGCTTCCAGTCAGGGACCAATCGGAGCTGTATTTCACCCCTGTGAAATTAGCATATTACAACAGCTGGAAGGAAGTCGTTGGCAGTGTGAGAGATTCGGAGCCATGAGGTGAGAGGAGAGAGGCCTATGGGCCCCTTGTGGGGGGCCAGACCCTCCCTCCCCTCCCCTGCCAGGCTGTGAGGAACCCGGGACAATATTGAAACTGAACACAGTGCTTGTGGCCAAAGGCTAGGGGGCTTTTCCCCCCCCACTGCCCAGGAGAGGCAGTGGTGTGGACTTGAGAGGCCAGCCAGGGGGTTGGAGCTAACCCACCCCCAGCAGGCAGGCACGGCCTTTGGAGCCGAGCCAGAGACGGGCTGAGGGGTGGTCCAGAGCCAGAGAAGCAGCTGTGATTGTACAGAGCTGGAAGAATTCCAGGCAGAGGAGAGAGACTGAAGCAGTCTCACTGCTACCCTCTCCCCCCCCATAATGGCAGGGGAGAGGTAGTGACCTTGAGCTGAGACTGAGCAACAGAGAGACAGGCTGAAGGGCTCGGAGGAGGCCCTACGTGAGGTTTGGGTGGGGGCAGTCGAAAACTGAAGGAGGAATGCAGGGGAATGAATGCCTCCCCGTGACCCATGGAAGCTGAGAAGCTGCAGCAGCTGGAGCAGAGAGAAGCCAAACCAAGCAGGCTTTTTCTGGGTAAGGACTTTTGGTGAAAACTATTTGTGGTATAAAAAGCTGAGCAAGACCCAGAAATGCTACAACCTGGAGAGAGTGAACATCTTACTGTCTGGGAGGAACCTTCACAAACCAGGGAGAAAGGACTCAAAGCTGACTCCCTGGACCTTGTGATGAAGACCTAGAAAAGCAAATGTTCCTTTGCAGTCCAGGAGGAGACCTCAGCAGAAGCCAAGGAGCTGGTGGGGGTGCAAAAGACCCCTTCCCTGATACTCCAATGAAAGAGAGACTATCGTCCTGGAGGGTTTTTCTTCTGAACTGATGTGGGAGGACCCCCAGGGGTGGTAGAGATTGTATTAATACTGTGTATTTATTTGCTTTTTAGTTTCTACAGTATTTATCATGTTAGTAATAAATTTTGATAAAATTCCCCCATGCTGAGTTGTGCCTGTCTGAAAACTTCTCTCCTGTGTTGAGGCAAATTGTGGGGAGAGCTTGGAGATTGGATTTTTGGGGTCAAACCTCCACAAACGTTTTTATACTACACTGTATTAGGAGTATACAGTGCAGAAGAAGTACAAATTGGGGGAGTATAAACGTACCTGTAAGAAGCCTTTCCTGTCACCATTTTCCCTCCTTCACCTCACCTCAAGCTGATGCTGCCATTGCTGCATTAAGTTTCTCAAAGCAATCCAGACAGGACAGCTTACCACAACATCAGTTTTACTTTAATCTTTGCCTGGCCTATTTGTGACTTACTGACATGCATAATGTCAAATATGATAAACCTGATTTTGGAAGGTGCCTCTAGGTGTAACTATAATACAAAAAAATAAATAGTTTTTTCTCCATTCTTGATGAAGAGAGGTCAGAGTTCTTGATAAATCCATTGGGGCTTTGCATATATGAATATCAAATCAATTCCCCTCCTTTACTTAAAAAAAAAAAAAAGCTTTTTTAAAATGTCTTTCCCTTCAACAACAACATCAAAGAACTAAGGAAAACAAATTTTGCATTAGGAGATTCTGTCGAAAAACATTTCACTTCAAACAAGGCACCACACAGAGCTGACAAGATGAGAGATTTAAATGCTAATTAGCATCAATTTCTTTATTGAATTATAATTTCAAGAAAATGTTGCGTGACCCTCTGATTTAAATACTGTTTTCCCTTCAAACACGTATTTCATTGCCAAAATGGGTTCTTGGATTTATACGCATGGATCATACATTTTGAAAGTTTGATTCTTACAGATTAGCTCATTTCCACATTTATAACCAAAGGCTGTGAGGACTGTATTAATCACAGAATGCATATTAAAGACCAGAACTATTACAGAGTATGCAAGGCACTATATCTCTATATCACATTTCTACGTGAGAAACAACTTCTTTATGCATGCTGAGTGGGCAATACAGAAGACATACTCGTTACTCTTCAAGTCCCACCTGATGGGCAGGCAAATACGCTTCTGGACTCCAAACCTCTCCAAGAAGGCTCTACAGTAATGATAAAACTGCATATAAGTGGCTTCTCTTTCATACAGGCACCACAGTCACCCATTTGCCTCAATGATCACACAGATGTAGAGATTTGCAAAAGCATTACAGGTTAATTCACACCTACCTCATGTAAATCCTCTCTTTTAATATTCATGTGTGAAACATAGATTTCACAGGTGAATGAACTGAACGAGAAGTGGGAGCTATGAGTGCTTCTTTTTGTACAGCTTTCCCACATGTAACAAGAAAAGAGATTTACACAAGGGAGATGAAAACTGACCTAAAACAATTTCCTGATAAGAGGCCATACACTAAGTGAATGCTGAAGTCTCAATTAATAAGGATTATAAGGTGTGTTGTGACACAAAACATCAGAAGACATCCAGAGGACTAGCTTACCTCTTTACTAATGAGATTTCCTTGACAAAGAAGAAATAAGGTGATATAGGCAGTCTATATACAATTTATAAATTCTTGGGACCGTTAGGATGTTGACATGTATTTGCTTTAAGGAGGAGCATGTGGGAAAGGGAACTGTAACACATCTCTGTGGGAAGCAGGCTCAGGTGAAGTGGTTATCTCTCCACATTGCTGCCCTGACCCGAGGGCAGGCAGGCTAAGCAAGCTACCACAGTGGGCACCAAGTTTGTCTAAGCCTTTGTGCAAAGGAGTGCTGAAGTGGTCAATGAAATCACAATAACAATAGATGAACCAAGCCCCTAAAGAGCATAGGCACAATACAGAAAGTAAAAAAACCTGCTTTCTTAGCAGGTGGGGTCCTGTTTAAGTACAGGGTCAAACAAAGGGGGAAAGCAAGTGGGTTTGAAACAGGATTTTGAAGGACCTTGAGGCAACTGAGAAAGCACACTAAAGGGATTCCCACTTTTGTATTTCCTGTGCAAGCTATGAAAAATTTACATTCTAATCCTATGCAACATAAACATATCTATAAATTATACCCTACTATTCAACTCTGAACAAATAAACTATCAGTACAGAGAATTCAGGGGGCAGAGTACAAGAGCACGTAAATGATTTCAAGGTTAGTCAGAAAGCACAGCTCTCATTAAGGGAAGGCAAGAACCTGTACTCAGCAAGCATGCAAGGAGAAGGAAAGAGAAGCAAAGAAGGAGAATTCTGTCCCTTCATAGGCCAGGAGAAAATTTGGAGCACAACAGTGCAGTAGGTGAAGATCCAAACCAACAAACTAATGGTGTGGAGTTACTATAGGATTGAGAGAATTTCTAAACTTTGAAAGCACAACAGAGTGACTCTGCCAGGAAACAGTAGCAACTGGACTAAGAAACCAAAGGCATAGTCATAACTAGCTTTCAAAACATATACAACCTGTTTTTCTGCAAGAATACTGGGCCAAATTATATCTCAATGGCTTTCAGGAAATGAAAACTAACAAATACAGCATAAACCAGAAAACAGAATATAAGATCCTTGTTGACCTTCCTGTGTACGAAAGTGAGTATTTAAAATTTATGGAAGGAAGTAAATGGGGGATTTAGTAGGTAAATTTCCAGTGCAGAAAATTAACTTTCAACATAAAACACTTCATAGATTTCATATATACTAGGCAGCAAATTCTGAGCTGAATTACACCAGCACACCCTAGTTTGTTTATTCAGAGGCTCTAGAATATCTCCCCATATTGATATTCAGAGTAAGATTCATAAAGAGTCATGGGGATTGCTGTCCCTTCCCTACTCCACTTGCCTTAACAGTTGGCATTGTTATGTGTTTGATGCTCAACATCTTTTAATCACAGAATGGCTGTTTTCTACCATGTGTAGAAGGTGTGCCTGGCTTTTTAAACTAGTGATCTGCAAAAACAATTAGAAGACTGTTTACCAGATCACACAAAATACTCAATTGATACAGCATACCTATGCAAAGCACAGGCCTCAGAGGTAAAAGGATTATTTCAAATTAAACAATCATGATTCTTTCTCTGCAACTTATATACACAAGTTTCTCTGCAACTTGTTGTGTGTTAGAATATTGAAAGCCTAGCTCAGTACTTTGATTATAATAAGCTTTAGGACATCTCATGGGATGCATCTGTGACTTGTTTCAAAATATTCAAGTTTTATTTTGCTGAATAATACCATGGTTTTTTCCTCTGTTTTATTAGGGGGCAATGAGAAAATAAAAAAAGAAGCCAAAGAAAAATTATTTGAATAAATTAAAGCACAAAAAAGAATAGTTAAAGAAACAAGTCAGCTGGCATAATGCCACAGTTATTGCAGAGGACTTGTCCTTCTGAAATGATCATAGATGTCTAGACTTACAAGGAGACCTATTATTAAAAAAAAAAAAAGACAGGATGTGTTGGTTTAGGCTGAGGGAGAGTTAATTTTCTTCATAGCAGCTTATATGGGGCTGTGCTAGGAAAAACACTATTTCATTATTGCTGAGCAGGGCTTACAGAGAGTCAAGGCCTTTTCTGCCTCTCACTCCAGCCCACCAGTGAGTGGGCTGGGGGTGCACAAGAATTTGGGAGAGGGCACTGCTGGGACAGCTAGCTGACCAAGACTAACCCAAGGGATATTCTGTACAACATAGAATCATAGAATAGTTTGGGTTGGAAGTGACCTTAAAGTTCATCTTGTTTTACCCCTCTACAATGGGCAGGGACATCTTCCACTAGACCAGGTTGCCTGAAGACCCATCCAACAAGGCCTGGAACACTTTCTGGGATGGGGCATCTACAACTTCTCTGGGCAACCTGTGCCAGTGTTTCACTACCCTCATGATGAAGCATTTCTTCCTCATATCTAATCTAAACCTATCCTCCTTCAGTGTGAAGCCATTCACTCTTCTTCTATCACTACATGTCTTGTGAAAAGTCCCTCTCCATCTTTCTTTTAAGGCCCCTTTACTGGAAGGCTGCTGTAAGGTCTCCCTGGAGCCTTCTCAACTCCAGAACGAACAGCCCAAACTCTCTCAGCTGTTTTTCATGTGAGAGGTGTGCTAGCTCCCAGATCACCTTTGTGTCTCTTCTCTGAGCCCACTCCAATAGGTCCATGTCTTTCTTACGTTTGGGGCCAACAGAGCTGGATGCAGTACTCCAGGTGGGGTCTCAAATGAGCAGAGTAGAAGGACGGAATCAGCTACCTCAGCCTGCTGGCCACATTTCTTTTGATGCAGCCCAAGATGTGGTTGGCCTTCTGGGCTGCAAATGCACATTGCCAGGTCATATTGAGCTTCTTGTCAACTAACACCCCAAAGACCTCCTTCTTCAAGACGACTGCAGGGGAAGGCTGAAGAAGAAGGAAGGGGGAAGGGGGACATTTGTAGTTATGGCATTTGTCTTCCCAAGTCACTGTTATCTGTGACAGAGCCCTGCTTTCCTGGAGGTAGTTGAACACCTACCTACTTGTCATGGGAATCGGTGAATGAATTCCTTCCTTTGCTTCTCTTGCGTGTGTGGTATTTGCTTTACTTGTTATCTTGTGGGCTGAGATAAATACAGTTTTTTGCTCATTTTTACTCTTCTGATCCTCTCCCTCCATCCCACTCAGGGGGAAGAGTGAGTGCCTGTGTTGGGCTTAGTTCCAGCTGGGATTGAACTACAACATGGCCTTCATGCATTTAAACTATTTAACTGACTATTGAAGTGTATGCTGGAAAGGCAAAGCTGTGGTAGCAAAATCAGCTTGATTTTAAAACACATTCAGAGCCCCACCCTGCTCTTGTATTTCAGGGAAGGAAAAAAAAAAAAATCCCAAACATCTCTGCATGGGTCTTACAGAGAGTGATTTTATGTGTTGGGGATCGCTGAGACAAATAAGCAGATAAATGCAGGCATTTATCCCATATGAAGTTGAATAGTGTGGGATTATGTTCAGTTTTCACTGAATCTCTAACAAATTTGAAGGCTAAAGTTGCCCGGTTTATCCCAGAGTATCCCAAAATAAAAGTACTATCATTTAGTGAGCAAGAACTCAGTAACCTAGGAAATATTCCTACCATGTCCTCATGGAGTCATACCACATTTTGATGAAATTAACGTGGAAAGCTTAGTACCACATTTTCTTCTACTTTCTAAAGCTAGTTTATATCCTCACAGAGTATAAAGCCCAATATTCTAGCACTAAATGACAACCAAAACTTCCCAGGAAGATGACTTTTTCCTCTACTACAAAGTGGTGTAGTTGACTGTCATATTACTTTCCTTGTGCCACGGAAATGATGGTGAGAGACTGTGTGTCATTGTGGATGGAAGAGACAGGTCATACTGTTAACAGGGTAAAGTGCAGCCAGTGTTGCCAATTCTCAGCATCCAGGATTGTAGATGAATAAGAAGGCTCAGCTATGCACACATAATTTCCTGATTCTTTAGTTCCCTCCACAGGCATACAAATCAGGTGAAAATTTCTTAGAATTACTGCAGTTTTTCAGATTCTTAAGATTGCTTTTGTGGTACTATAAAGCTTATGTGGCCTGCTGAGTAGAAACACTTGCAGTTATTTTTCGAGTTTGATAGGTGTGCTTTTTTGCTGTTTGGTTGTGGTTTTGTTGTTTTTTGTTTGTTTGTTTATTGTTTGGTTTGTTTGTGGTTTTTTCAATTTTAGGAAATAAAGTCAGCCATACAACAGAAGTAATTTGATTTAACCCAAAGAACAGTAAGCATAAGGAATGTATCAAGAACTACTTTCACAACTGCCAATACAAGTAAATGAACATTTTATGTGGTATTTTGCTTTCATATGTTAATTCCAGATTTACAGTTGATACCATATATTTGAAACTCAAATAAGGCATAAAAAGGTTAAAAATACAGACTCCACTGAATAAAAGCCAACATATCTTTCTAGTTAGGCTACACGAGATAATAAAAAAAATTGACATCAAAGAAACTACCTCATTCAGGCCTTTCAAAATACTTGTCATTAAAAGATGGTTTGTTGAAACTTCAGACAGGCTAAATGTATGCCACATTTTGAGTGAAAGAATTACCTTTCCAGGGTTGCAATTACAACTGTACTTAGTTGTCATGGCAACCTGGCAACATATAGATGTTGTCAGATGAAGACATCAAGGGACAGTGATTTTCAAATCACTGCATGCCAAGTGTTTTTTTCCCCAGGTATATCTCTTCTCAGTTCAGAAAAAAGATTAAAAAATGGAAAATTAGCATTTTAAAACAATGTTTAAATAGCATTCAGACTGCAATACCAATATCCCATTTCAAAGAGCTATTAATAGTATTCTTAGGTGTCTGCTTTTTCTTCTTTTTTCCCCCAGTTATTTTTGTTCCCAAAATGTAAGTACAACACAGGTAGCTGAAAGGCAAAGAGGTCAGGCTCAACAACGAAGGTTACCATGCTTTGGTGACTGCTGAGTCCTGCTGTTATCCTTCCCCTTTTCTTCCTGTTTTAATTGTCCTGCTATCTTGACTTGGGTACTTTCAGTCAGATGTTCTTTTTGACCTAAACTTCAATTCCTTTTGAGACAGTAAAAGGAAAAATAAATCTATACTAAAAGCCCCTGTTGAGCATGCCCCAAAGATGTGAGGTTGAGAGAGAATCCAGAAAATATCCACTACAAAATGCAGCTTTCAGTTCTTTTCAATAGGCAGCTCATCCTGTGGTGCCTTCCTCTATACTGCTATTTTTGTTTC